CACGTGTGACCCAAGAGGACCTGGATTAATGTCTGTTTGTGGTTGTTCCTTCTCTTGCTATTGTGTCTCTCAGGTGATTACTCCAGAGGAAATTTTGGATCCGAATGTGGACGAACACTCAGTCATGACCTACCTCTCCCAGTTTCCCAAGGCCAAGCTCAAACCTGGAGCCCCACTTCGGCCCAAGCTCAACCCCAAGAAGGCTCGGGCCTACGGACCAGGTCTGTATCAGCAGCCATTTTCTCTCTCTCTCACACACTTCCACTCTCTCGGTGATCTTCGTCATTGCCTGTTTTCTCATTCATCCTTTTATTTCCTGTGACTCCCCTCCTCCTTCTCTCCCGATGGTGACGTACAAATTCCTGTGCCCAGGTATTGAGCCAACAGGGAATGTGGTCATGAGGAAGGCCGAGTTCACCGTGGAAACCATCAGTGCAGGCCAGGGCGAGGTCATTGTCTATGTGGAGGACCCTGCTGGGCACCGTGAGGAGGTGAAGCTGCATTATCTCAGTTATTTTTAAATTTAAAGCTGTTCCTTTTTTGGAGTCTCGCTCTCTATCGCTTGCTCTATCACTCGCTCTCTCTCTATCACTCGCTTTCTCTCTTTCTATCGCTCGCGCTCTCTATCACTCTCTCTCTCTCTCGCTATCACTCGCTCTCTCTCTCTCTCTCTGTTGCTTGCTCTCTCTCTCTATCACTCTCTCTTTCTATCACTTTCTCTCTCTATCTCTATCACTCACTCTCTCTCTGGGTCTCGATTTGACGTCCTGACTTTGGGAAGGTGGTGAAGGCTTTAGAGAGAGAGGGAGTGTGGGGAGGTGAATGGAAAAAGATTCACGGAAATGGATCTGGGATGAAGAGGCTTCAGTGATGTGAAGTTCGAGAGAGAGATGCGGTAAAATTCCAGCCCCCGCAATCTCCCCAATTCCCTGTCATATCGCACCCCCCATTTCAGCCCCCTGCCCTCAGAAGCAAGTCCCCTGTTCTCCCCCCTTTCCCAACACCCCCATCCTCCATCTCGCTTGCCAAAATCAGAAATATTTCCTATACATCAACCCTCTCTCGAAAACCCCATCATCATTTTAAAAGCCCTCGGTGAGGTCAGCCCTCAGTTTTGTCTTTCCGCGAGGAAGGAAATCCCAAACTCTTCCATCTTCCTGTTTTGGAAAAATGCTCGATACTGTGTGTGGAACCAATTCTGTGCCTGCTTTTGTTTACAGGCTAAAGTAACAGCGAACAATGACAGAAACCGGACTTACACAGTATATTACACTCCCAAAGTGGTGGGACTACACAAGGTGAGTGGGAGTATGTACGTTTATGTCCTTGTTTATTCAGTCACAGGGTGTGGGTACTAACTGGCTGGGGTATGATTTGTGACCACGTCTCCAATTGCCCCTTGAGAAGGTGGCGGTGAGCTGCCACCTTCACTTGCTGCAGCCCCCATCCCCACCCCCGTGTGGCGTAGGGACACCCCATGCATTGCCCTGTTATGGGGG